CCCCAAAACCCCAAAACCCCAAAACCCCAAAACCCCAAAACCCCTTTTAATTTAAATTCGATTGAACTGTTCAAAATGGTACGAATAGAAGCTACTTAACGGAGTTCTTGACGTTCTCCATATTGATCTCATGAACAGTTCCCATGCATTCATTCAACACAGCAGAGAAATTACTCTCAGTTCCCTTAGCATCAATGAATTGTCAAAGAGAAAAGATCTGAGATTCGTTCGTAGCAATCTTCTTCTCGAGAGAATTCAATAGCTTATAAATATCGTTCTGGAGAAGCTGGTTCTTCTTAGTATCATGAGAAATAGAGTGAGTCGTCATAATCTTCTGCATTCCTGGCTTAATCTTTGCTAGCTGTTGCTTCAAATCTGTGAGTCTTTTCTTCTCCTTGTCGTATTCTCCTTTGACTTGATCTATCTTGGGGAATTTATTCTCCATTTCATCCTGCATGTTCTTTAACTTTTCGTCCATGTTCTTGTTCTCCCTTTCGATCTTGCCTTCTAAGGTATTGATCTTATCCAGATCAGCCTGTCTCTGGTCTAGCTCTACCTTAACTCTGGCATAGGTAGTCTCTGAGTCTTCAACAAGTCCCTTTGTGTAAGCAAGGTCTCCCTTCATATCCTTCACATCGTTCTTGGATGGCAGAGCAGTAGACTTTGTAATACTCTTACTCATGTGCTCAAGCAGAGTCACTATTGTGTTCTCAAGTTGGTCTACCTGTTGGCTCTCTTCCTGCTTCGTAGTCTCGAAATTCTCCATAAAATCGGTCATCTCTCTATCTCTTTTGTGCAGAGCTTCATATTTATGGGACTCATCCTGATCTGTCTTCTGTTCACTAAGATCAGCTTCAAGTTCATTTATGTTCTTCTGATAGGTGGAAATTATTTTTCTCAAGTCAGCTATCTTCTTTTCACAGTGAAGAATTTCAGAATGATCTTGTTTGATCCTGTTCCTAAGCCTCTCTCTTGCCTCTGCAAAAGGAAGATTGCTCTCATTTGTCTGTAGCTCAAGCTCCTCTTTCTTTTTGAGAAGAGAAACCTTCTCTTCTCTTAAATGCTGAGCTCTTTGTCTGAGTGTATCCTCTTTCAATCTATCATCAAGATCTCTGAGTCTTTCATTGACTTTATCAAGTTCGTTTCTGAGGTACCCAATGTTGCTAATCAAGGTGTTGTTCTCGCTTCTGAGCTTCTCATACTGAGCCTTCTGCTCTGGATCAAGCTGGTTCAGCTTCTCTTCATTAGCTTGGTTAATATCAGTGATTTGCTTTTGAAGCTCAGAGATTTCATTCTCCATTTCCTTTCTCTCAAGGAACAAGTCATCAAGAGCACTCTTCTTTTTATCATTTTGGAGCTTGATATGGTGATAGAGGGATAAAATATCCTCAGGCTTTGTTCCAAGTCTAAATTTATCCTGAGTCAGGTTATAATCAGCAAGTTCTCCCTCGAGTTGTCTCACATCATTGATCAGTACATCATACTTTCTCTCTAATGTCAAATAGGAGGAATTATCCTTGTTGATAGTGTCAATCTCCTTCTTGAATTTTGAGATTTCTGAGGAGATCTCAGTATTTTTGCTCTTTAGCAAATTCAAATAATAGCTTTTGTCATAAATTTTTCTCTTTGGTCCATGGCTTGTTGAGGTAATTCCTGATAAACCATGATTTGTAACTGGTCTGTTGACAATATTTACATCACTTTTATATCCGACACCTTCTGTCTTGATATCCTTCTTGACTCCAGTGGGCTGCTTGTAGCCAGTGCCCATTCTCATCGCCGTATTCATTTTCGTTTAAATTTGAAAATATTATAAAAATCTCAACTCATTATCTTTAATAGGGGTTTTGGGGTTTTGGGGTTTTGGGGTTTTGGGG